CTCTCACCCTGTTAAAGAGAGAACACACACACTCTCTCACCCTGTTAAAGAGAGAACACATCATAAACACTGACTTCAGGATGATCAGATCTTTATCTTTTATTTCCTATAACCTCCCAGGACCTGAGTGTGTACCTGAGACTATATATAAAGATGGAGGACATGACTAACCACACATTTTATTTTATTTTATTCATAACAGTAGTACACTTGTACATCTATTTATCTATTTATCTATTTGCTGTATTTTTTTTTTATCATGGTCCAACATTTTCTATGTCCTACAAAGACGTTTTTATGGATTTGTGATTTTAATTCCTACTTTCTTTAAGTTCGACGAGTTATATAACTAGAATGTATATGTCTTATTATAGTTAACGTCCAGTAACGTCAGTGTGCTTCATTTCCCTCTGGTGGTCACTCAGAGACTCAGAACCTGCTTCGTCAGAGTGACAGAGGAAATCCTGCAGCAGCTTGATTGAGTCATGTTGTTCAGTGTGAGCTGATCATTTATATCATGTATGAACACGTGTTGTGAATTATTCGTGTCGGCTGCAGTCGAGTGACATGCAGGTTGATTTACCAGGAATATTTAGTTTCTAATCTTAAACTGACCGCAGACCTGTCCAGCTCTAGTGCTGCCTTCAGGGACTGTTTAATGCTGATTCTTCTGTTGGGCTGGTTTGTGCACAGTGGCAGAAACACACACGTCATTGTATTCACAGGTTCATTCTTGACTTTGAGAATAAAAACCTGTTAAATTTTCCAAATTCAAGATTCACTCATGAACTTTTTTCTCCATCCCAAACTCTGTCAGCCTCACATTTCTAATTTTCTGTCCATTACGTGTGTGTGTGTGTAGGTTTATGTATGAGAAACAACTTCTACGTGAGCCGTGTGAGTTTTTCAACCATGATAAATAAAGAGAAGCGATGCTCTCGACTCTGAAAACACCGAATCGTTACGAACACCAGCAACAATAAAACCAGCGGAGCCTGAACGCGGCACGGGTCGTGTTTCCGGTGTCCCTCGCAGGGGGAAGTGTGAGTTTCCTGAAGCACTTGAACGCGTCGGCGGAGGAGCTCAGAGGTAAAACATCTGTATTCACAGTCTGAGGCTGAAACATCTGTATTCACAGTCTGAGGCTGAAACATCTGCATTCACAGTCTGAGGCTGAAACATCTGCATCCACACGTTCAGCGCGTGTCACCGAAACTTCTCTCCGAGACTCTCGGACTCTCTGCGGCCGCTGTTAGCTCGTTAGCCGCTAACGCCGCTAGCCGCGGGCAGCTGTCACAACAAACCGCTTCCTCCCGGCTAACCTAGCTAGCTAACTCCGAGCTAGCTAACTCCGAGCTAGCCAAGTTAAACCGGGGCCGAGCAGCGAACCCGAGCTTGTTCCCCGGAGCAGCGTTGGTGTCAGACCTCCACTTAGTTCCCGTGTTAGTTTGAAACTTTCCCCGAGAACAGGCCTTTGAGCCGCGGGCTGCTCTTCCTTCACTTTAGCCACTGAGCTAACCGGTTGGTTAGCTAGCTAGCTCCGTAAGTAAACTTCTCACCGCTCACTTGCTTCTAAACTACGTCACCGCTCTTTAAACTCTAACTTGTGTCGCTCAGACTCTTTGAGCTGAAAGTGAAGTTTGTTGTGTGCTCGTGGTTTTAACACTGTTTGGATGCGGAAGTGACTAAACCACATCGACTTTGTGAAAACGACACGATAACAGAATTAATGATGTTTTAAAACTTCATTAACTACACGTGGTCTGTCTGTAACTGTCAGTGATTCTCATCTGATGCTTTATATATACAGTATAATGAAGTGTATATATATATATATATATATATATATTTGTTTTCAGAATGACAGTGGAGCTTGCAGTCATTTATTCATGTCAAACATTTAAGAAATGAATCATCAACCATCTCGATAGTGGATTCATCTTTTCAGTTTTTGTTTAAATTTGTTAGCTAAATAAATGTAAAGATGTATTAGTGTGAGTATAAGTAGTAGATTAGTTACTATCCCAGTAATAATCAGCCGATGGAGAAGGCAATTGATCAGGAACTCCTCAAACACATGAGTGTTATGGTTCGTTTCCTTTCAGACTGCGTGTTACTGAGGTTTTACACCGATGGTCTTCGGGGTGAAAATCAAGAAAGTGACATATTTGCTTCTGGAGAAAGAAACAGTAAAGTTTAAAAACTGACCCAGTAGATAAAAATAATCAGCTGCTGCATCTCTAAACGCTGCTGGTTGAGAAACTGGACCGACTCGATGCGGATAACAACATGTAAGATAAAGATAAGATAAACAGTGTTTGCCACCGACTTCACTGGAGTGACTGATCGTCACGGCCGCAGCAGATGACCAGTTAACTCGTCCCTGACTCATCAGAGTTCGGCCGAGCACGGTCGCTGCCAAACGGCCCCAGACAAAGAGCCAGTGATGAAGTGGCAGAGCATACCCCCTTTACCATTGTCCCCCCGTAATGAAGCGGCAGCGCGGGTATGCGAGCTCCTCCGTGTCTGGGTGGTCACAGGATCTACAGACGGCGTGGAGTAAACACTGTGTTACACAGCCGCCACTGTTTCCACTAACTGCTCAGAATCAGCATCATGTTAACCTGCCACGTGGTGTGAAGGTCGCAGGTCGTTTATATGCAGCTGACAACCCTTCTTAGCTCCCGACTTTATGCCGTGTCGGTTTCCACGGGGTCTTCAAACTTCTAAAAAAGTCTTAGAATACAGTTTTTGACACGTTAAATATTTTCCTGGAGGAAAACGCTCATGTAACAGACTTTTAAAATGACTGCTTCTTGTTCCCTCGCTCAGATGCAGACTATAAAGTGTGTGGTGGTGGGTGACGGTGCTGTGGGGAAGACCTGCCTGCTCATCTCCTACACCACCAACAAGTTTCCCTCTGAATACGTCCCCACGGTGAGTACGCGTCAATAATACCACAAACATTTAAAATGCGCTGCCCCTGTTTTCTGTCACACAGGTGTTATTAGAGAGAACCACAAATACGAGTCAGATGCTGCTCCTGGTCAACGATGGCGTAATGTGTGAGCTCCTCATCAGTCGTATCGTTTGAGCTTACAACGACTTTAAAACTCCAGATCACAAGAGATGAAGCTGTGTAGTGTGAAGATGGAATAATAATAATTTATTATTTGTAGTCTATATAAATAACTAGTTATTTATAACCACTTACCAACAATCTGTTTGTGTCTCGTGCTCTGTGGAGCTGCAGCTGTTTTCCACAGTGTTTTGTGATCAGACTGTTTCCAGCAGCTTCTGTCTGCTGAGCTCCATCAAAAACACACTATCATCACTGTGGGTGTGTGTGTGTGTGTGTGTGTGCGCGTGTGTGTGTGTACTTTCAGTCGCCCACTGAGATTCTCTCTGTTTTAAACAGATTCAGGAGGAAACATAACTAACATCCATGTGTGTGAAACCTGATGTCGTTTCCTGACCCGCAGGCTACATCATGTTGTTTATCTCGAACCCGTCTGTGTATCCGGAGCTTCATTAAAACCAAAGCGTGTCTGCTGGCTACGGCAGAACGCAGCGGGTCGACACGTTGAAGCCGCGCTGCAAGCTCAAGCAGGCGCTGAGGTTAGCTGGCGTGTCAGGCCCCGGGCAGCTCGTCATCACTCAGCAGCGAGGGAGGAGTGAACTGTTCACCTGAGCAACAGCAAAACAATCAACCCTTTATTAGGATTGATAACACGACACACTTCTCTAATCATGCGCTAGTGACGCTTAATTAGATTTTACCAAATTAAACCCATTAAACTAATAAGGTTTTCATTTAAATAACTTTGAAATGATCTAGAAGTGATGGAACGTTTGCTATTACTCATAATTAAAGTTTACTTATATACACTTTGCCTTATTTTACTTCTCAGAGTTATTTCACACCAAAATATCCCTGATATGAACATGAGCGCTGCCGTCCGACACATATGATGTCATTAGGAGTCAGAGTCTGTGCAGTAGTGATCGTGGGGTGGAGCCGTGGTGTCTCACCTCACCCCTCTGTCCTCACCCCCTCTGTCCTCACCCCTCTGTCCTCACCCCTCAGGTGTTTGATAACTATGCAGTGACGGTGATGATCGGCGGGGAGCCGTACACTCTGGGGCTGTTTGACACTGCAGGTAAATCTAACGTCTGCATGTGGATTATTTAACTGATGTCTGATGCTCTTGTTGCTGTGGCTGAATTATTCTGTGTATATTATTAATATATTTTTTTTAAATTTTGTATTTCTCCCCCTTCAGGTCAGGAGGATTATGACAGACTGCGGCCCCTCAGCTACCCTCAGACCGACGTCTTCCTCGTCTGTTTCTCTGTCGTATCACCCTCCTCCTTCGAGAACGTCAGAGAGAAGGTTTGCCTCATTGCTTCTCTCTCACCTGGTTTCATTCAATATCTGGAAACTTGTAAAATCTATTGTATCCTGTTTTGTGTTTGTTGTGTGTGGTGCTCGTATAAACCCTGAATATATTCAGGGGCGACAGAAATGGATTAAATATAAACATTTATTTTATTTCATAATAGGTGACAATTAGAACCGCAGACATATCGGTATTTAAAAGATAATAATGGACCCCAGGAAGATTAGCTGATTGTATCTTTAAATCAACAATATATGTTTATGGTTTAAACTGTAAAACATCCAATATCTATATCTGATGCATGTTATAATAAGTCAGTTTTGAAATGTTTGCCGTCACAGTGGGTGCCGGAGATTTCACACCACTGCCCGCGGACGCCGTTCCTGCTGGTCGGGACTCAGGTAGATCTGAGAGACGACCCCAACACTCTGGAGAAACTGGCCAAGAACAAACAGCGAGCTCTGACCTGCGAGAGCGGAGAGAAACTGGCTCGGGAGCTCAAGGCCGTCAAATTCGTGGAGTGTTCAGCTCTCACACAGGTACCTCCGACATCGGTCAAGTTACACCCTCTCGCACACACTCGCAGATATCAGTCCTCTAAACGAGCATCTAGATCCATGAATATTATCTGGGACCGTGTGGAAAGTGTCTCAACAAGTTTCATGGATCCTTCGCTCGTTCTACCCTGCTGACAAACCGGGTGACAACAGGTCTCATCAGTGTTTTCTCTCCCCTGCTCTCCCGCTCTCTCGCTCTCTCGCTCTCTCAGAGGGGACTGAAGAACGTTTTCGATGAGGCCATCCTGGCAGCTCTGGAGCCTCCGGACAACAAACCCAAGAAGCGCTGCGTCCTGCTATAGATGTCACGAGAGGAAGCGGAGGTGGACGGGAAATAGAGATAAAACCCAGATGGGAGCGGGGGGGGTGGGGGCGGGGGTGGGGAAGACAGACACACGTTCAAGCAGTGCCTTCAGCCGTAGTGACTTAATGTGGGTGTGGTGTTGTAACCGACACAAGCTTTGTTTTTACCGTAGACACACGTCAGCGTAACATGACTAACACATTCGAACAACACTCCAGATTCCTGAACAGTGGGAGGAGCCACAGCTGAAACTCCAGAAACATTACAAATAAAAACAAGTTCTGAAAAAGAATTGTGTAAAATGTCTGAAGTAGATTTTAGGGGTAAAAACGGAGCGTGAACACACGTGGAGATCAACCATCTTTGTTACGCTTAGTGAAATGAATCTGTTGCAATAATTAATCTGCTGTTGATGATGCAAGTTAAACAAAAGCAACACGTGTTTCTTTATTATTTTTTTTATTTCTGGTATTTCCACGTAGCGACAATAGAGGAAACGATCCAGAGACATAATAAACCGACCAAACCTTCTTAATTATCTGGATGAACGCAAACAGAGCGATTAAAGTACCGACGTTAGTCAAAGGAGTCAGAGATTCAGAAGTTAAGACTTCAGACAAACGGACGAGCTGCTGCTGTTTCAAACTTCATCTTCACTTGCGGTGAAGTGTCGATCGAAGCTGCACACTCGACGGCGTTACTCATTTAGAAACGTCGGAACTAGTTTCAGTCGTAACTTTGTTCTGTTTCCTCCGATCACACGAATAATCACGGAGCTGTCGCTAACATTTGGGTTTTCTGCTGAGACGTTTGCACACAACAACATTTTATTGTCGCCGTGGCCTTTCTCTGCTGACGTCTCACTGTGGACCCCCAACACACAAGATCTATAAATATAAGTCTGACGAGGACAGTTAATCGAGTCGTGTTATTTTACAGTTTAACTTTTTTATCAATAACTTCAAAAAAAAACGAAAATACAAATGCAACCAAATATATAGAAAAAAATCCTCTTTTATTCATTGTTTATTCAGTAAAATAAAAGTTTTCACATCAGCAAACATAAGCACAGATACTGATCCGTCTGTGAACGACTCACATCAGAGCTGTTTTTAAATCTGTGGGGATCCATCGGCGTAACCCTAACCCACAGACATCATCTAATTACTGTTTTTAAAGTGACTTAGTGTTAAAAAATAAAATGCCTTAATTCACAGTCGTCACATGGATCATCCGGTCTCTTGCTTGTGCCGAGTGTGCGACTGTAAACACATTTCCTTTCCTTTCCGGACCTGCCGCTGCCTCGATGCTTAAACCAGTTAAATATCAAAAGTCGGACCTCACAGTAAGAAAAGTTCATATTTAATTTAAATCTCATCTGTCATCGGTTAGTAAAATTTACATTACGCTCCCTCTTCGCACGCTCCTCGCTCCTCCTGGCTCGACTGGAACATCAAGTGCTCATCGGTGTATCAGCGCCTCCTGGAGGCTGCAGAGGGGAGTGTTGCTCGGTTCAAAGGTTGTTCAGTGGCCTGCAGCGAAGGATCAGAGTTAGTTAACGTGAACACAGCTCAGATCTTGTGGCTCGTTCACACACATCAGGTGTGAGAGGTTCCTGGGTCCGGACCAGCGCACCGCCATGACCCGAGGAGGCGGTCTGGGTCTGGATCCAACTGAACCGATGTTGGGTTCTTTTGTTTCTGTTTTTTAACTGATTATCTGATGTGAAGGTGACAACAACTAAAATCCTTAAACTGAGCATATTCCCCATTAACAGCGACTCAAGTTCCACTTTGCTTTCATATGTTTTTCCGTTGTTTTGGAGATGGCGGTTTATTCTGATAACGAATGGATGATTACAAGTATTATATTGTTTCCTTTGCTTCTTTCCGTTTCTTGGGGATTTTTTGTTTCACCAGGTTTTTTTTGGGACTTTTTAGTCTTTTGTTATTTAGATATTTGAACCTTTACTTGACGGTTGAGTGCCAACAGCTTGAGTGAGATTCACTGGCCTGGTTCGTCAAACTGAACGATAATAAGCTTCTAACTTCAGAAATAAAATAAAGATCACTATAACAGCTAAAGCAATAACTACAGATGTGGAAAACTCTGTACTGAAAGATGAATGTTGGAACTAGTGGGTGTTTGGAAATAATAAAAACTCTACTTGAATGTTGTTTCATGTTGACTATTTTTCTTAGATTTCTTCCTTCTCTGCTCCAGAATCAACTTTTTTTAATCATCTGTAAAAACTCAAATTCAAGAATAAATCAGATTATTATTATTATTATTTTTACTTTATTTAAGGTAGAACACAAACTACTGTATGAATGTTGCCTTTAGTCTTGTATCAGGGAGAAGAGTAGTAAGAATTTGAGAATTGCAAAGACAAGATTTGTTTTATGCTTTAATATCAAATTATTTTAAATTTCATAGAAGAAGACAAATAAGGAAATTGATAAATAAGGAAAACAGATTTAAACTTACGACAGAAAGTCAAGTTTGCAAATGGAAAACAAATAGAAAAGTCTTTTTTTCATGAAACATAAAAATGCAATATATGTACAATAAACAAATGAGGGTGCTTCCCTCTCATATCATTATTTCAGTGGCATCCTTCGCACTCCGTACGGTCTGGAGGGTTAATGCAGTGCCCTACAGTGAACACCAGGGGGAGCTGTACCACTGGTTTTGAATGGGCCCCAGTTAGTACAGTATGTAAACGACCTGGGTTCATTTTGATTGGCAGAGTAAAATGGATCCTTCAGCAGAATGGAGGAGCGGAGCCACTCGATCCTTTGTCTGACGGTGGCGACGTGAATGAGACAGAGAACCCCCCCCATCCTGTTTCCCATCATCCCTCTCTCTCTCCTCCTCCATGTTCTTGTGTCTTTTGTTTGAGGGTTCGTCTCCTTCAGCTTCAACTTGAGTCACGTCCATTTCACAAGCGTCTCTCGTCACAGTTATTTTCAATATTGCAACACGTCTTGTTCACAGTTGTGTTGTTGTGTCGTGGCTGCAGCTGAGTTGTCGTCATCAAGGTTACACACACACACACACACACACACACACGATTAACACTGATCCTCAAAAACTGCAGTTTAGTCAGTTTACCGTTTATTCAATTTCAGATTAAAACCTTTTTCAATCATTGTAATTATTTAACAAACTCCACCTCGTCATTGAAATGCTGCTCACACACAAATGCATCAGTGTTTAAAGGAAGTTCAACAACACGGGGGGCCACAATGTTCGTTTCTCATCTGTCCGTGTTGGAAAATGATGCTCACGTGTTTTTAACGTCTTATATTAACACGTGACGTGTTTTCCAGCTTTGGAATCGTCTCCCAATGAGGCCCAAGAATTCGACTCTGTAGTTGTCACGTTTAAAGCTGAGGTCTTTTTGAGTCTGTGCAGAGGTGGAGCCCCGACATCGAGGTCACGAGTCAGTCTCAGCTGTCGATCATGTCGTCAGCTACTTTACGTCTATTTTATTTTATTTTTTTCAGTTTTGTCCATGTCCCATCTGATAACACGGAGGAGGAGGTTTATGACCTATACTGCAGCCACCAGGGACTCAAGGCTTCAGTTTTCACGTCGTCCATCTTTATTCACGGTGTCTTTGTATTGATATCAATAGATTTCAGCTTCTGAGTCTAAAACATAAAGATTCAATTTAAGTTCCTGGAGTTTTTAACTGTTAAAAAGTAAATAACCTCGATTCACTAGAAAACACTGATGAGAACTAGTCATACAGGTTAATTAGCAGGTTGACTAGCAGGTTGACTAGCAGGTTAACTAGCAGGTTGACTAGCAGGTTAACTAGCAGGTTAACTAGCAGGTTGACTAGCAGGTTGACCTGCTGCAGCAGATGAACTGACGTCAGACCAGTTTGACTTTCTGTGACTTGATGAATCATCTTGGTGTTTATGTGGCGGCCATCTTGTCTTGTTGCTGATTCAGCCTCCGACACTTTGACTGCTGGTTCGGCTGGTGAATATTATTGGATGTCCATCTGACCTCATTATATAAGTGCGTCTCCACGGGCAACCAGTCAGGAGAGAAGGGGGGGAGGGATTTGGGGGGGGTGGGGGTAGAAGAGTTGCATCATGGGTTAGAAACCTGACCTCTCTCTTTTTTTCTTTTGTACACGTGCACACATGCAGCTCGTGCACCCGCAGACACACACATGCACTGTTTGACACAAACATGTTAGTGTATGAACACAACAGGAAGTGGAGACGTTGTTGGATAAACACTGGATCAGATTGTTCATGTTGATTCAGATTCAAGTTTTAGTTTGTTAGACTACAGGAAATAAAAAACCTTATCTTCCCTTCTTCTCTTATCTTCTCTTATCTCATCTTATCTCATCTTATCTCATCTTATCTCACAGCACAAATCAAATATAGTTTGTTTTCAGGAAAAACTTCAAACAAAACATGAAATCATGACGTAAATTCTGTTTATATGAGTTTGTGTCAAAATAACAAACCACAAACATCCGTGGATAAAAAAACTGCGGAGAAAATATGAATGTTGACATTGAATTTATCATCTGTGTTCGTATTTCTGAAAATGTGTTCCAACATGTGAATAGTTGTGTTTTATTGTGTGTGAGTGTGTGTGTGTGTGTGTGTGTGTGTGTGTGTTCAATAGACTGTAAATAAAGATGGACGACACATCTCCACTTCCTCCCACTGATCAAAATTGAAAATATCTCGGATACGAGCGCTGGCGTCTTCTGCATCTGGAGCCGAGGTAACGTTGATTCACTCCCTTGACCAATCGTGAGTTAGTGTCAGCTGTCGATCATGACATCATCAACAACGTCAATCAACTCAAACCAAACTGATCAGAAACACTTCGACCAGGTTCCAAGATACAAGGTGACCCATGTACTGTGGGTTTCATGTTGTGGGTCTGTGTATGTGTGTACTTGTGTGTGTGCGTGTGTCCAGCTTGTGTCTTTGTTTCATGTTGTGTCTGTTTTGTGTATTTCTTCCTCTGTGTTCACTTTGAGCTCCTCTTTAATTTTTCATGTGTTTACTCTGTGTGTGTGTGTGTGTGTTGTGTTACTTTTCTCTGCCTCAGTGTTGTTGTTCATGTGCATCATTGCTTACATGATCGTATACTTTTAAGTGTGTGTGTATGGATGTTTGTAAGTGTGTGTTTCTGTGTGTGTACATGTGGCTGCATGCACTCCTGTGTTGGCATGAATACCCGTTAGCCTGTAATTTTGTGTGTGTGTGTGTGTGTGTGTGTTAGTGTGTAGGAGGTGTATATATGTGGGTTTAAGAAATGTTTGTGTCTAATTTTGTGTATCCTCAGTGTGTGTGTGTTTTATTTATGTATGAACTGAGCATTATCTGCAGACACACAGCTGTGTGTGTGTGTGTGTGCTTCACTGTATACACACACACGCACTGTGCCTTCATCTCTGACATAACTGGTTACCATGCATACTGTGCGACTGACTATTATGGGGTGTTCTTTGTTTTGTCACAACGTGCCCTGGTATGGAATGGGAGGGGGGAGGGGAACTGGGTGTGTGTGTGTTTGAGTGTGTGTGTGTGTGTGCTAGCGTGCACGGATGTGTGTGCATTTCGGGGGGGGTGCATACGTGTGTGAGGGGGGAGGTATATGTGTGTTTTGGTGTGTGTGTGAAAGGGGGGGGGGTGCAGCTGGGAAAGGGTGTGTGTGTGTGTGTGCGTCGAGCAGAGGATTGGGTGGGGGTTGGGTGTGTGTGTCTGTGCAGACGTGCGAACATATAATGTGTGCACGAGAGAGAGAGTGGGTGCATGCATATGTTTTTGAGAAGGTAAGATAAAATGGCGGCGTGTGTGTGAACAGGCCTCGACGCTGACTTCACTCAAATCCAAGTCTCTTCGTTCAGCGTCTGTATTTCAGACCTGCGGCTAAAATCCACAGAATCGGCCACAGAGTCAACCATCACTTTGTGTTTCACACCTGAGCAACGCAGCAGCAGGTTTTCTGCACAGACTCGTTCACAACAGCATCGTATCCTCCTCGTTCTTCAGGTGAGAGCTGCGGCAGCCGGGGGAGAGAGACAGGAAGTGATGCATTACCTCCACTGCTGAGATCATGTGATCGTGTTTACATCAACACCGTCGTCAGCTCTTATCACCACAGACTCTCTTCACATCTACGTCTGTGTCTTCTGTCTCGACTGAGGTACTTGTGAATTTCTGCATCTGTCGCGCGTTAGAAGCATCGTAAACCCCCCCCACTCCCTCGAGGTCTGAAAGCAGCCTGTGTGTGTGTGTGTGTGTGTGTGTGTGTGTGTGTGTGTGTGTGTGTGTCACGTTCTCTTTACCATGAACACATGATAAAGACGACCCGTAAATAGAAGAGCCAACAGTCACGTCCCTGAACTCATCAGCAGAAGTTCAGTCTGAGGATCAAGTGATTCCTCATTCTGCTGATTTTTCATGTTTTAGATTCGTGACTTTAAACGTGTGACTTCTTCCGTCCAATCAGCGAAGTCAACACGACCCACCATTAAAAACAGAAAGTTTCCAGAGACGACCCGCAAACGATTGTTCAGATAAGTTGGTGATGAAGCAGAAAAATGGTTGAACACATCGAAGGTTGAATGAATCGCCATCACTGATGATTTCTCTCAAATGAATTCCTTCTTTCCTTGTCCAGTAGTTTATAAACGATGAGGTGACAGGTGGGATTGATGGGCCCAGGAAGTGACATGAGCCTGAAGGACATTACAGTAGATACGACTCTTCGCAGATGACTCTGTGTTGTATATGAAACACTGCAGGTTGGTAAAGATCAGTTGGAACTCACAGACTGAGAGAAAGAGACATTGTTCGACAGCAGCGCCTCCTTCCCATCAGCCTCTCTGTTATTGATTTCCTCTGTGATCAGTATGTACAGCTCCGCGTGTCCTTGCTCCCTGACTTTGACATTTTGATGCAGCTGCAAACTTGCGATTAATAAACTGTAACTAAAGCAGAGATTCCACAAGCAGCCGTGGCTCATGGGCCTTTGTCTTGAGATTGTTTTTCTGTTCCCTGGTCAAGAATGAACTTTGACCCTGAAACCTTATCTCGTGACGCCTCAGGTAAATCTCCGAGGGTCTTGTCTCACAGGTTTGGAGCCACCGGCCAAATGTATTAAAACGACCCAACGTGAGA